TATATCTAAGGTGGTGCTTAGAGGAAAATTTATAGCCTTTAAATGTTTGTTTGAAAAGAAAAAGGCTGGAAATCAATGATATCAATACCTTCTCAAAAAATTAGAATGGAAAATGAAAATCAAGGAAAACAGTAATAACAGAAATTAACTAGAAAGAAATCAAATGTGTAACAGAAAATCAACAATAGCAGAACAGAAGTGCATTCATCTCAAATGCACATAAAATTTCAAAAAATATGTTGGGACATAGAAATCTTGAATTGAAATTATACAGAATATATTCCCTTTACACATTGGTATTAAATTGGAAATTAGAAATTAAACAAGATACTTCTAAATAACACAAGTTGAAGAAAAAATGACAAGGGAAAATTTTTTAAACTCAACTAAATGATAATGAATACACATCCTATAAAAATGTGTGGGATGCAAATAAAACACTTGTTAGAGGACAATATATTACTTTTCACATCTATATTTTTATAGAAAGAAAAAAATATAGAATTATCTAATATTCTGCCTTGTGAATCTAAATGAAAGAAGAGCAAATTAAACCCCAAGGAAATAGAAGAAAGGAAATTATAAAATTAATAGTAGAAATTAAAAGAAAATCAACAGCCAGAAGTTGATTCTTAATAAAAGATTAGTAAAATTGATTTTAGGGCCAGGCTTGATGGCTTATGCCTGTAATCCTAGCACTTTGGGAGACCATTTGCACTCAGGAGTTTGAGGTTATAGTGAGCTATGATGATGCCACTGCACTCTAGCCCAGGCAACAGCAAGGCTCTTAATCAATCAATAAAGAAAGAAAACAAAATAAAATAGATTTAAAAAGACTTTTCAATAAAAAAAGAAAGCACAAATCACCAATATCACAAATGAAGGAGGGACATCACTAATGTTCTAAAAGACTGAAAGAAGATAATAGGATATTGTGAACAACTTTATTCCAATCAATTTTTTAACTAAGATGAAATGTACACATTCCTTGAAAAATGCAGCTTACTGAAATTAACACAAGAAATTAAAAATCTGAATAGTCTTAGATCATTTTTTAAAAATTGAATTTATAATTCAAAATTCCTCACAAAGAAATCCCCAGGCCTCATAGCTTCACTAGTTAATTCTATCCAATGTTTAAGGACAAAATAATAATCTTACACAAACTTTTTCACAGTATAGAGAGATACTCTCCAACTCATTCTATGATGCCATTAAAACTCTGATAATAATACCAAATTCATTACAAAAAAAATTATGGACCAATATCTCTCATGCACATGGATTCAAAACTCCTTAATAAAATGTTAGGAAGTCAAATATTTCAATATATAAAAAGATTAATACATCATGATCAAGTGGAGTTTGTCCCAAGATTGCCAGGTTTGGTTTAATGTATGAAAATTAGTCATTGTAATTCACTATGCTAATTGCTGTAAGCTGTTATTTGTTTCAATAGAAGCAGAAAAGGCATTTGACAAAATTTAATGACCATTCATGATTTAAAAAAAATTCTTAGCAGCTAGGAATAGAAGGAAACCTCTTCCACATAATAAATGCATAATTCTTTCTTTTTTTTTTTTATTTTGAGACAGAGTCTCACTCTGTAGCCTGTGCTAGAGTGCCGTGGCATCAGCCTACCTCACAGCAACCTCAAACTGCTGGGCTCAAGCAATCCTGCTGCCTTAGCCTCCCAAGTAGCTGGGACTACAGGCATGTGCCACCATGCCTGGCTAATTTTTTCTATGTATTTTTAGTTGGCCAATTAATTTCTTTGTATTTATAGTAGAGACAGGGTCTCACTCTTGCTCAGGCTGGTCTCGAACTCTGACCTTGAGCAATCCGCCTGCCTTGGCCTCCCAGAGTGCTAGGATTACAGGCGTGAGCCACCGCGCCCGGCCATAAATGCATAATTCTTAGTGATGAAAGACTAAATTCTTTCTCCTCTATGATCGAGGACAAGCCTCTAAGATTGGAAACAGTGTAAGAATGTTCACTATTACCACTCACCATTTCTATTCAACACTGTACTAGATGTCCTCACCAGTGAGATAAGACAAACTAAAAAGAAATAATAAGCATGATTACTAGAAATGAATACATTAATCTGTCTATTCACGAATGAATTTATTGTATTTGCAGGAAGTTCTTAGGAATCTTTTTTTAAAAACTACCATTTTGTGAAAAGTAGAAGAAAAGATATATTAATATCTTATTGAGATCTGGGCATAATAAATAAATATCTGGAAGGATGAATAAGAAACCAGTAATAGTGATTACTTATTTGGGGATAGGATTAGGAACTCATGGGTAGAAGAGAGGAAGGATGGAGACTTTTTCACATGTATATTATCTAAACTATTGATATTTGAACATAGTTAATATATTACCTATTCAAAGGCATAACTTATTTTTAGAAAAAGACTGAAAGTTGGTATTCCCTCATCATTGTGATTAAGTAATGAGCACCTTTCACTTCCCATAACCCTCCATACCAACCATGATAGAACTCTCTTATCAGACTATAGATGTCATACAACATGATCATAATTTCAGAATTATACATACATTTTTAAAGGAACCCTTTCATGAATCTGTTATGTAATTATGACCCATAGATTACAGATCATTCTCAGTCTATTCACCATGAATACCTATTAAATGCTGTTGCACTTAACCTTTTACCTGCATCTCTATTTAGTAGTAAAAGTAAAGATTGAGCATTATATCCTTTTCCTTATATGTCTGAAATACTAACCAACACGCCAAAATAATACTAGCAGTAATAAAATCTAATATTTATTTAGTGTCTGTTATGGGCAGAGACTGTGCTAAATTCTTTACATGTATTGTTTCAACATTTAACAGGCATAATTCTGGCAACAAAGATGGGAAGGATAAAAGGTTAAAGGTCTGAATAATTCAGATTAAATAGCCATTCTCCAAATAATCATAGATTCGTTGTATTCTATAATTTGGTATATTGTAACAAAAGTTGAGAATCATGTAAAAGTTGAAAATGGGGCGGGAAGGGTAAAAGAGATTTATAAATGGAAGTTTTGGAGATTATGAGTGAAGAGCAGCAGAATTTAGAACATGCTTATAATTAGAGAGACCAGTTCCAGGTCAACATTATGCCATTAAATAGAAATTTGTGCAGTATACATATCAGATCAAAACTGTCTTTAGGTAATTTAAAAAGAAGTATAAAATTGTCTTAAGCTGAATTATGAAAGTAATATTAACTATGTCTACCTGACCAAGGAAAGTGATAAAATCTCTCTTTTTTTCTGACTGCTGCTGCTTTATTTGGTTTTATTTTTTGTTAATCCTTTCAGGCTACAAGTAATAGTCCAAATATTTTATCAGTTCTGAATCCACCCAATATCTCTATTCATTGTAAACATGCACTAATTCACACTGGTAATTTGAACAATCTAAAAATGTTAGACAACCACAGTAATCATCACCCTTAGAATTAACTAGCATAAATATTATCATCAGGCCTTCTTAAGCTCCCGAATGATTCCATCTGCTCTTTAGCAACATACTATGATAGCACCAAGAATTCCCTCTTTCACAAATACCTGGACCAGGAGATACTCTACTGCATCCGCAAATTAGCAGTAGTTGTGCTTTTTGGCTTCTGAGCTGTAGACAGTTGGGGGGGGCAGAGGAGGGCAGGCACCAAGTTGCCGCTTTCCTCAGCCTCAGACCTAGAAGGGCCTGTTTCAGTGTTCATCTTGGAAAACCCTGATAGCTCCCTACATCAGCACCCACATCTGAGACTAATACAGCAAAGATGGTTTCAGAAAACCTCTTGTGCTACAAAATGCCATGCAATGGCTCTGAATAAACTCCTCTTCACATATTTTCTCTTCTCTCCTCCCTTCCATATCCATGCCCTTGCTTAGTTCCAGTTTCCATTAGAGATGCTATTTGAGCAGCAGATTTCACAGACTGGATCCATCTCAATGCTGCCATGCAAAGAAAACACATCTGTCTGACTGTTCATTTAAAATAAGGAAAAAAATTGAAACAGCAAAATGCTGTAATCGCTCTGAGCTATTTCCTAATGAACCTGTTTGCCCCATGAGCTGTAGTGAGGAGATTCTCCTCGGTGAGAATTCTTTATGCATATTAATATTATGCATGTTTTCCATGTGACTCCTTCTGACTTGCCCTCACCCATCCTTTGAATTCATTTAAATAAAAATAATTTATGTGGACATTCCTTCAGTCAGGATTTTCTCTCCCCCTTTCTTAAAGACATCCATAATATTTGGTTGATGCTTTGCATCCAAACCAAATAGTTATGCTTTTGCATATGATTAGGGCTTTATAAAGAACAACAGCGACATCTGCATGTGCCACAGCGCCAAGGAGATAGGAAAAAATACCGAAAACAAAACTCTGTATTGGCTTGGAGGCTGTCTGGCTCTCTGTCTCCCTAGCAGCCTCTGCCACCACCATGGATAAGAGTAATTGTACAGTGTAATCACATCATGCCTCATCTGAATATTCATAGCAGAGACAAAGCTTTGGAGGATAAGGGGGGAGCAGGGATAATTTAAATATAAAACAGCATCTCATTTCCAAATCAAGTTGTGCCAGTTAGACTGTGCATGAGGATTCAATATTAAGCCAACGTTGTTTTATAGTTTGGAAATTGGAAGTGAAGAAGAAGATGGAGGAGAGAAGAGACTCAGTAAAGAAGGGGTGACATTATATTCTCATTCTTAACTGAGGAAAAACAAAAGACAACAACAATAGCAACAGAATAAAATTAAGTAATATTAGAAGAGTCACCAACAGTAGCTAACCAGCTGCTGTTTTACCAGGAATGAAATAGCCTATTGAGGGAGCTTTAAAAGCCCCCAATTAATATGTTGTTCATGTATAAGATCTACAAAGAACTCACTGTATTCCTTCTCTCCCCCCAAATCCCCCCAATACTCACATATTCCCTAACCACCACCTTTCTTTCCTGTCGGATGCAGAGGAAAAAGATCAGAGCTACAAAATAATCGACTAATCACTTCAAAAGTGACAACATCCCTCTTCAAAAAGAAAGGACAAAAACAAACACATATAAAAAGGTAACTGTTCATTAATGAAGGGATAAATTACCGATGGCTTCTTCATTCTCTTTAGTTCATTACCCCCCAAAAGAAACAAATATAATCCACATGTTAATATTTCTTGTCTTCGTTTTCTTTGTTTTTAGTATGATGCTCTTTATTATTTTTTTTTTTTTTAGTGTTGGTATTTGTAGAAGCCTCTGCCACTGCATTCCCCAAAGAGCTACTAGTTTCAACCCACTGGAGTTTATATTCCTTTAATTGTCTAGTGCAGGAACATTTCTGCTGTTTTTTAAAATATACCGCTCTGCAGGAATTAGAAGAATCCAAGGTTGTATCCAACTTCAAAGGTTTCCAAGTCAAAATGATTTTAGCAAAAGTAGAAGACAGATCATGGAACAAGTCCCTGTTTGAAGATAAGCATCATAGGGACCTTTTTTTCTTCCCTCTCCCCAACTTTGTACTTCTCCTGGCTCTGAATGCCCCTCGCTAACACAGTTTAATGATATGCAAATGGAATATGCATAAAACCATTCTACTGTATGATGATTAAACACTGGAGACATTAACAGCGTAGGCTTCACTCTTTGTAATAATCCTTCCCGACCATCCACTTTGATTGCGGAGTTATGGAAACCCATAGCAGTTGGCAGAGAGAGTGAAAGAGAGAAGGAAGGAAAGATGCAGGGACACATCACCCATCTCGGTGCTTCTCCCACTCCAGGAGAGATTCCCCCCCTTTGTACTGCGTTCCTATTGCTGTCTTTTGTAATCCATCCATGCAGTCGCACCAGAGCGATTAACAGAAAAAACCTCTTTTCTCTTAATGTTTCAAAGCTCATTAGCCAAACGATTATTCCTCATTAACAGCGAAAGCCCATTCATTAAAAGGAAGAATATGCCCAAAAGATGCCAGCGCGGTTAATCCTGAGTCCCGTAACTGGGCTGTAAATCCCATACTACTTGTATATTCCATGCGAAAGGGACACGCGCCAATCCACATTTAAAAAAAAAAAGAAAGAAAGAAAAGGAAACAGTTTGTGTGTTTTGTAAAATCCACAAGAGCAGCAATTAATATTCCCATTGAATGACTTTATTTTTTTGTCTCTCCCTTTTGTTTCCAGCGCCTGCCCCTGGCTCAGCGCCCGGTGCCAACAGAACACCTTTCAGGATCCACAGCAACGCAGACAACGTAAGTACCAGCCGTTCCCTGAAACCCTTTTGCAGATTTTTTTAAAACAACCACCTAAAACATAGAGAGACAAGCCTCTTTCCCCTTCTTCTCCCCTGCGTTATGCCACCAGGGTTTCCTCAGTAGCCCCTTCCAAATCCCTCTGCCTTCAAGTTTGTGCATGTCTGTGTGGCATCCCTCCTCCTCCTTCACTCCCATAGTGGATCTTGTAAAAGGGCTTCAGATCGGCCCCATTCATCTCCCTGGTGATAGCAGTGAATGTAGATAAATCTCTGGCTGCCTGCTTGCTGCTGGAGTATGATTTTTATTTTGTCTTCTGTGTATACCTGGATCAAAAAGTGGGATGTATGCACACACATACATGCATATACACATATTTCCTTCTCTCTCCTCTGTCTTCCTCTCCTTTTCCTCACACATGCATACATCCCACATACGTGTGTATATGCATAAACACACACACCTATCAACATACCCATACCTATAGCACAAAAATATATACATATCTAAACGTTTGTCTGAAAATATGTGTATTTATATACACATACAACCTTACACATGTGGCTATATGCAATTGATAGGTGCCTATCTGTTAATTTATGCCCATCTATATTATATCTCCATTTAAATATTCCCTCTCTTCTCCCAGCAGAGGCTGTGTGCAATTGCAATCCAGGATTGTACAAGCAGTATTCTTTCCTTATGATTTCTATTTGTAGACCTTTATGCTCCCTTCTCTGCCTTCTTCTGAGCTGTAGAATTGGCATCTTTCCCTGAGGTTTTCCAAATGGCAAGTGGCACCGGCTGTGGCATGCATTCATGCCGCTTCCTATGGCATCTCTCTTCCGATGTCTGCTTTTTCTCTTTGTTTGTTGTTGACTAGGCTGAATGGTGTTTTTTTAAAGTTAATTATAAACGAGTTGAATAGCAAACAAGCCAACAGCTTGCCCCCCCCCCAAAAAAATAGCCCCACACAAGCGCCTTCTGCTGCAACAGATGCCCAGATCACCCCTGGCACGGGCAAACGGGCAAACGATTTTGGTGGTTGTTAATTTTTTCTGTTTGTTGCTGTATTTGTTGTTTGTTTTCCTTGTCTCTTTTTGATTTTTCAAGGAGTCCAGGATCCCGGCCTCTGATGGAACGGAACAGTGTCATGGCGGAGACGACGGCCTTTGTCTTGCTGGGTGTGAAAACATCCGCTGTGCTGGCTCCACTGCGGCAGAATCAAGTTTAAAGGAAAAAAAGTGATTAAAGTCAGCTCTGTGCCTCTTTGGTGTGGAAGACCCCCAAACCCCAAGTAGCCGAGTCCCAGGGTCCGAGGAAGGGCTCATGGTTGGAGCAGCCTAGGCTGTAATCCTGGCACTTGCGCCTTCGGTTGCTGCTTGCTGTTCGCTCCTGGGGGTCTGGATAATCTCCCTTGGCTTTACCGCACTGTCTGGCCCGCATACAGGGCCCCGTAACATATACCCGCTGCTGCTATCGCACGAAACTGTGGCGTTGCCCCTGAATGGATGGCACCGTGCCAACTCTTCTGCCATCCGCCCTTGCAGCTTTTTTCTTTCCTCCCTCCCTCCCCTTCTTCTCCTCCTCCTCCCGTCGACTTGACGTTAATTAACACACGGGTTAATTGATTTTAAAAGCCGAAGAATTACAGTTAACTTTTCCCACAGGGTACAGACGCCAGCCGCTTGGCACACTCTGCCTTTCGCACTGGTGCAGGGGGGCAGGGAAAGCCCGCAGCAAAACTAGCAACTGCTGAGGGAACGTTGCCTGCTTATTGGAGTAGAGCGGATAGAAGTCGACGTGGCACTGCCTCATCCTTTACAATATATGTAGCCATTACATATTTTTTTAAATAATCAAAATACAACCCTTTCTTCTTCTCCTTTCCACTTTAAAAATAGGAAAACCCTTCAGAAGTTTATCTAGAAGGGGAAAAAAAAATCCCTCCTCCAGACCATTTATCTCATCCATGATGTGCTTTCTTCCAATAAGAAAGTAACTGGTACCTTTTAAAATTTTTAATTTTTTTATTTATTTTTTTCAGTTTCAAAGAGGAAGACTATCCCTTGCCTAAATATCACAGGCATAGATTTTTTTTCTTTAAAGAAAAAGTTCCATAAAGTCTTTTTCTTATTCCAGTGGTTTTGTTTTGTTTCCATTTCTTTTGACACAGATGGGTTATTTATGGTGAAGGATTTCATTGAGAAAGTAGGTATATTGTAATTAAGAACAAGATTCATATGAAAGCTCTTTGTTTGTTTGTATGTGTGTGTATCTTTGCTTTTTGTCCCTTTACCCCGTAATCCTCTGTAGAAAATGAAAGCAGTTGATATTGTAGTTGGGGAGGAGACAGGCAAGGCTGGGAACTTGATGCTTTCACCTTTTCATGCTTTCATTTTATTTCATTTTGTTTTTTAAAAGCACACGGAGCAAGTGAAGCGACAAGAGGAATCCATTATGCAAATCATGTCACTTTGCATAATGTCTCATGACTGGAATATGCAAATAAGCTGTATAATTTATGAGTGCCAGTGTCTGTCTAAAAGTGTTCCACATAATTTACAAAGTGAGCATGAGAGACATGGGGAAGGCAGCTCTTCCAACTCCATTGCCAGAAAAGCCCTGTATATTTCTACAAGTGCTCCCTCATAATGTCATCAAGAGCTATCTAAAAGAAATTAAGGTTCCAAATGTTCATGAAAGATAAAGATTTCCCTCTCACTGCTTTCACCCATTAATTTTATTTATTAATTCATTCATTTATTTATTGCCTAAAAGTTTGCAAGAAACTTAGACTCTAAAGCCTTCGTTTTTTGGATTCAATTTGGAAAAGCAAAGCTATTTGAGCCAAACTTACATTTGTGTATGAGTTTTCTTTTCTAAAACAAGAAATATCTTAGAGAAATAGATTATCTATTTATCTATATCTATGAAGGCAGAAGAATGGGAGTTCTCATTTTGGTTGGTTTTGTGTGTTTCCTGCTCTGTGCAACATTTTATAAACTATATTCTATATTCTCTTGGATATATTAGGTATTGACATAAAAGACTCATGCAATAAATATTCTTCTGAAGGTATAATTCTACTTTCAGAGTAGTCTTCAGAAGAGAAGTGATATTCATTAAAAACCAGCTTTTAGTTAACTCTGTTTAATTGGCCATCCCATTTCTCATTTTGGTGACTTTTTTGAGTAGGTGATTTTGAGTCTTTAGAAAAGTCATGACATCTGTGATAATCTGACTTAATCTCTCCTTATATTTTATTTTTCATTATAATCATGACTTCTGTGAAACGGATGTATAGGATATTATGAAAATATACCACTGATCCTTGACAAGGAGGACCTGATTCTTGGAGGGCATGTCAAAAAGGCTTCCTAAAGAAAGTAAATTTAATCTCTCCAAGTTGAAAAGAACTTAAACAAAACAAAGGAGCAAGTATTTTCCACATAGAGAATATGTTCAGTAAATCCTGATGCAGAAAAAGAACATGGATGTGTAGAAGAACTGAAGACTAGTGTGACTGGGGTAAAGAGAATGGGTTATTGGATCGTACTGAGAACAGATTGGGAGGTAAGCATGTGAAGAGGTAACTTATTCATTATCTGCATTCATTTGCTGGTTCTGATCTCTTATGTTATTAGTTGTATGCACATGTAACTTCATTAAGTTCATATTGAAAACTACTTACTATTATAATACTTCTTATAAAAAAAAATTTGGTTTTTTAAACTCATGCATTGAGTCATCAGAGTTTTGGGGGGTTTTTTTGTTGTTGTTGTTGTTGTTTTGAGACAGGTTCTCACTCTGTTGCCTGGCCTAGAATGCGGTGATGTAGTAATAATAGCTCACTGCAACCTCAAACTCCTGGGCCCAAGTGATCTTCCTGCCTCAGCCTCCTGAATAGCTGGGACTACAGGTGCATGCCACCATATCTGGCTAATTTTTTCTGTTTTTAGTAGAGACAGGGCCAGGCATGGTGGCTCAAACCTGTAATATTAGAGCTCTGGGAAACTGAGGCAGGAGGATCGCTTAAGATCAGGAGCTTGAATCATCAGATTTTTTAATCCAACCTTATGTGACATATTTCTTATTTTTTGAAGTTTTATTTTCAAATAATAGCCCTTTAAGAAAATGAAAGTAGGAAAAACACCCCATCCAAACAACTGAACTACAAACAAATTGAACTAGAAATCAATAACAGAATGGTATCTGGAAAATCCCAAATTTTTGGAAACCAAACGTATTTCTAACGACGTGAGTCAAAGAGGCAGTCACAGGGAAATTAAAAAAATAATTTTAAGCAAATGAAAATTAAAACACATTACAAATTTTCTAAGATACAGCTAAAGATGTGCTTAGAAGAAATGTGCTATAGTGGCTTATTTTAGAAACCAAGAAAGTTTTGAATCAATAATCTAAATATCTTAAGAAAAAAAAGTAAACTAAAGCAAGAAGAAGGAAAAAAATAATATAAACCAGTGAAATTGAGAATGGAAAAACAGTGGAGAAAATTAGAATACTCAAAAGCTGGTTCTTTGCAAAGATTATAAAAATTGATAAAATCTAGCCAGACTAAATGAGAAAACAAGAAGACACAAATTACCAAAACTAAGAATGAAAGAGGAGGATATTGCTAAAAATCTGACAGCTATTCAATGGATAATAAACAATAAATAAATAACTTTTGTCAATAAATTTGATAACCTAGATGAAATAGACAAATTCCTTGAAAGACACAAACTACCACAACTCATTCAAGTAGAAAAACTTAGTTTTATGTCTATTAAAGAAATTGAATTTGTAGCCTAAAAGCCTTCCCATATAGAAAGCACCATGCCCAGATGGCTTCACTCACAAATTCTACTGAACGCTATAAAACACTGAAGAAACAAATTGGAAATACCATGCTCATGGATTGGACGATTCAATATCATTAATGTCATTTCTCTCCAAAGTGATGTATTGACATAATGAAATTTAATCCAGTCCCCATCTAGACATTGACAAGCTAATTCTAAAATTTGTAAGGAAAAGCAATAAATAGCCAAAAAAAATTTTGAAAAAGAACAACTAAATCAGAGGACTCACATTGCCTGATTTTTGTGATGTGTTATAAAGCCCCAGTAGTCAGTGTGATAATGACATAAAGCTAGACTTAAAGATAACAAAGAATCCCCAGAAATACATACACAGTTTTTTTTGGTAAAGGCAATTTAATGGAGAAAGAATAGTCTTTTAAATATATAGTGCTGGAACCATACGAATAAATGAGTGTATAAGAGCCTTTACCCATATTTTACTATATACAAATATTAATTTTAAATAGATATTATAATAAAAATAGGCCAGGTATAGTGGCTTACCTGTAATTACACCTGTAATCCTAGCACTCTGGGAGGCTGAGGTGGGTGGATCCTTTGACTCAGGAGTTCGAGATCAGGATCAGCCTGAGCAATAGTGAGACCCTATCTCTACTAAAAATAGAAAGAAATTGCTGGACAACTAAAAATACATAGAAAATATTATCTGGGCATGGTGGTGCATGCCTGTAGTCCCAGCTACTCGCGAGGCCGAGGCAGAAGGATTGCTGGAGCCCAGGAGTTTGAGGTTTCTGTGAGCTAGGCTGACGCCATGGCACTCTAGCCAGGGCAACAGAGTGAGACTCTGTCTCAAAAAAAAAAAAAAAGATAGATGTTACAATAAAAACAAAAACCTAACACTAAAAAAGTTCTTGAAGAAAACATAAGATAAAATCTTTGTGGGCTAGGCAAAGAATTTTATAGATAACAAGCAAAGAAACTTAAACCGCAAAGAGAAAAGGTAAGTTAGACTTCACAACTGAAAATATCTGATATTTGAATGGTAGAAAGTAATGAAAAAATATGCTACAGACTAAGACAAAATGTTTTCTACCAGTAATTAGGACGAAATTAATCTAAACCAGACTAAAAACAATACAGAAGATAGAATTAGTGGATGGGAACATTAAAACAGCTGTCACAACTGAATTTCATATGTTAGAATATAGAAGAAAGCAGAAACATTAATATTAAGTCGAGACAAGAAAGTTAAAAAGATTCTAACTAAACTAGTGGGGAATAACACTACCATGTCTGAAATTAAGAATACAGTGGACGGGATTGATAGAAGATTGGATATTTCAGAAGAGAAGAGAAGTGAACTAAAGACACATAAATAGAAACTATCCAAGATAACACACAAAGAAAAGTAACAGAAAAATAATGAATATCAGTGAGTTGGGGGACAACTTCAAGTGGCCTAATATATGTGTAGTTAAGTCCTTAAAGGAAAGGTGGAAGGGGGACGAAAAATTTTTTTCAAAGAATTAATACCTAAAAAATTTCTCAATGTGGTGAAAGCTACAAACCGAGAGGTCCGACTATCTCATTGAATCCCAAGCACAAGAAACATGAAGACCACTACACTAGGGCATGTCATAATTAAATTTCTTAAAAGTAAAGAAGAAAACACTTTGAAAGCAGCTAGAATAAAGATGATGTATTGTGTACAGTGGAACATAGATAAGCATGACAGATTTCTCATTAGAAAAACTGTAAGGTTGAAGACAGTGGAGAAACATCTATAAAGTATTGAAAAAAGTTAAATTAAAATTCTGTATACAGCAAAAATATCTTTCAAAAGGAAAAGTGAAATACAAACTTTTTCAGATGTACAAAAGCTGAAAGAATTCATCATTAGCAGACCTGCACTACAAGAAATATTAAAGGAAGCTCTTCAGATGAACGGAAAATTACACCACACCAGTCAAACAGCCTTAGAAATGGTAATTATGTTGGCAAACTTAAAAAACTTTTTTCTTGTTACTTAAATGTATTTAAAGAAAATTGATAATTTAAAGCAAAAATAATAATATATTGTTTTTATGATATATAAAAGTAAAACCCATGACAACAGCACAAAAGCTATTGAAGATAACAGAGAAATGGAAAATTTCTACTATAAGGTCTTATAAAGAAAGTGTTATAATAGCAATAACATCACTTGAAGATAGACTATAATAAGTTAAAGTTGTGAACTATACCCTACCAAATTTCAAAAGAAAAGAACGCTAAAATGACAGTTACAGTTAATAAACTAACAAAAGACAGAAAATGGAATTACCAAAAATGTCCAATTAACCCAAAACAAATAGCAAAAAAAAAGATTTAAACTGAATCTTTGGTAATCACATTAAATGTAAATGACCTAAATACCCCTATTAAATGGCAGTGATTGTCAGATTGCATTAAAAAATAACAGGACCCAAATATATGCTGCCTATAACAAAACTACCTGAAATACAAATATTTAAATGAAAATAGTTTAAAAGTTAAAGGGTGGCTATAGATATAGTAACACTAATCAGATTAAAGCTGGCATGAATTTATTTCTATAGAACAATATAACTTAGAGCTCATAGAACCAGATCCCAGAAAGATGAAGTCAGCCACTTCCTGTCTTGTGGCAAGAAGTGGACCCCAGCATTTCTTTCAATTGATGGATTCTGAGTCAGAACTGACCTAGGTCTGGAAACTGAGGAAGGGATTATGACTTGCTGTTGAAGTGGCTGACTTCATCTTCTTGCTCATCTAATCTGGGCCTCTTTTGAATGAATATATACATATATATAATATATATATATATATATATATATACACATATGCATATATATGTGTGTGTGAATATATATATATATATATTGATGCTTGAGAAGCATCAGGGTCTGTGAGCCATCTGCGTAGATTCTTGTGAATCAGGTTGCCATTTCAAACTTTCTGTTATTCCTGGATTCACATTGATAGGAAGGATACCAATTCTGTAACACCATCACCTTCTACAGGAGAAGTCCCCATCTACAGGAGACAGTCACTACTAAGGTACTCAATGACAATAGTAAATGAAGTATCTTACAAATCCTTCCAGGAAGCATCATAAGCTAGGTTTTTGCCTTATATAACATGTCCACTTCAGCATACCTGCTGAGGTTTTTATTATGTCATGAACAGTTTACATTAGTTAGCATATCTCTATTTTAGTTAGTGTGGGCTTCTACTCTTATCAGGTATCCAAGAACAACCCCATCCTTGTATTAAAAACTGACTTCAGTTGGCTGGGTGTGGTGGCTCATGCCTATAATCCTAGCACAATGGGAAGCTGAGGCAGGAGGATTCCTTGAGGCCAGAGTTTGGGACCAGCCTGAACAAGATTGAGACCCTGTCTCTACCAAAAATAGAAAAAATTAGTGGGACATGGTACTGTACACCTGTAGTCCCAGCTACTTGAGAGAGTGAGGCAGGAGGATCACTTTAGCCCAGAATTTGAGGTTGCAGTGATCTATGATGACACCACAGCACTTTACCCAGAGCAACAGAATGAGACTCTGTCTCAAAAAAAAAAAAAAAAAACTGATTTCAGAGGCCTTTTCAGAGTCTTAATTCTGAGTTATGGAAAAGTTCCTTTGTTAAGAAGCTTTATATTACACTTTTCTTGGTACCAGCACCCCTAGGATTTACTCCCGGTCATACTCTGCCAATTCCTACAGTTTATTAGCCAGGTGATATCACTGTCTATTGGCATTAAACCTCCTTTCTCCTGTAGCAGGTCAAGATTTCTCCATGAGGCTATGCTGAGATTTGACACTAGCTATTGCTATGGTGGCCAAGAGGTGAGGTAAGGTCAGATCTTGAGAAAGGAAAGCATTATCCTTTGAGGCACCTACTTCATTTGCAGCCTTTGCATGGTCATAAGCAAGGTGCAGTCCCCATCTCCTAATTAGGAGTGGGTCCCTTTCACAGCCCCAGAGGATTCAGAGTAATCTCTATCAGGGCATGGATTTAGTGTACAAAACTTGACTGGGATGAGAAATTAGGTTTCTCTAAATTCTTCCAATCTTATAATTGTCACGTTCCTAATTATAAACCATGTTTGCCCTTTTATTTTTATTCTTTGCTATAAGTTGGTGCTTAATTGACCTAACTCCTCATTCTGCTTTCTCATGAAGTCAGTGGTGCTCACCAATAACCACCCATTTTTCAGTCTTAATACTTACTCCATCATTGCTCTGGAATACCAGAGAGATGATGCAAGTTAGTACTTTCTTTTTATCTATATCATGTCCCCATTTACCTTAGATAAAAGTTTTAGCATTTGCACTGTAACAGCCTCCCAAGGACTCTAGGACCTTTTCCAGACCATGCTTCCAATGACCACTGGTGATAGCAACTGTTCTAGGTAGGGTTCCCTAAAGGCAGAGCCTAAAATAGCAATTTTTGTACAAGTGATATATTAGACATTGATCTTCTGGCAGGAGATTCCTGTAAGGAAGGAAGTGAAACAGGATAAGATGGGAAGAAGCAAAGATGTGGTTTCAGAAAAAGTCTAGCTTCAGCTCAATCCTGTAGGTAGCTCTGAAGCATGAATTGTATCCCAAAGCTGGTCCTGCCCAGACATAAGATAGCTAGCTGGCCTGTTGTTGTACCGCCATACCAGTCACTGGCTGTGGACTACCTCTGGTAGGGTGGCATAGTCTTCTAGGCATTCCAAGCAAAGTGGCACCTATAGGGGGAGTTGGCTTTCATCAGCCAACAGCAGTCCTCTAAAAAGAGGCAAGTATAAGCTGTTATCAGGGCTTCAAGTATAGTTGCACTATCCTAGTTAAGAAAATCTGGGTAGTGCAACAATAGCATCTACAATAGCTAATATATCCATACAGTGGTACCTCTTAAATTTATATAAATTTTTAAAATATCACCAAGGAAAAAGAAAATAATAGCAAAGTAGCTAATAATAGTATGAAAGTGTTTATGCTCATTAATTTAAGAATATAAATTAAAACTCAGTGAGATACCACATGTTTCATGTATATTAGAAAAAATGTATACTTTATAGCTGTTAGGTGTAGGGTTCTAAAAGGTCTAGTTGATAGTTGTTCACATCTACATCTTCTCTGATTTGCTCTCTGCTTGTTCTATCAATTTCTGGGAAAGGAATATTAAAATCTTCAATTATGAGCAGGAACTTTTTTATTTATCTTCATTGCTATCATTTTTTTTTTTTTTTTTTTGAGACAGAGTCTCACTCTGTTGCCCAGGCTAGAGTGCCATGGCGTCAGCCTAGCTCACAGCAACCTCAAACTCCTAGGCTCAAGTAATCCTTCTGCCTCAGCCTCCCAAGTAGCTGGGACTCCAGGCACACACCACCATACCTGGCTCATTTTTTCTATATATTTTTAGCTGTCCAATTAACTTCTTTCTGTTTTTGGTATAGATGGGGTCTTGCTCTTGCTTAGGCTGGTCTCAAACTCCTGAGCTCAAATGATCCACCCACCTTGGCCTCCCAGAGTGCTAAGATTACAGGTGTGAGCCCTGTGCCCAGCCCATTGCTATCATTTTTAACAACTACACTTATGTACCATATAATAACATTTCAGTCAGTGATGGACCACATACACAACAGTGGTCCCCTAAGATTATAATGAAGCTAAAAATTTCTAGCACCTAGGGATGTTGTAGTGCTCATAATGCATTACTCAAGTATTTGTGGTGATACTAGTATAAACAAACCTTTTGTGCTGCTAGTTGTATAAAAGTATAGTACATACAGTTATGTACAGTACATAATACTTGATAATAAACAACTATCTCACTGGTTTATGTTTTCACTTTACTATACTTTTTATCATATTTTAGAATATATTACATATGTACATACATACATTATATATATATACATTTCATACATATATATATACACATACACATACACATACATACATATAACTGTAAAACAGCCTCAAGCTGGTCCTGCAGGAGGTATTCCAGAAGGCATTGTTTTCATAAGAGATGACAGCTCTATGTATGTTATTGCCCCTGAAGACCTTCCAGTGGGACAAGATGTGAAGGTGCAAGACAATGATACTGATGACCCCTGACCCTGTGTAGGCCTAGGCTAATGTGTGTATTTGTGTCTTTGTTTTTAACAAAAAAATTTAAAAAGTTAAAAAAAAAGAGATACAAATTTTTAAAATATAAAATGCTTATAGAATAAGGATATAATGAAAGAAAGTATTTTTGTACAGTGGGTTTGCGTTTTAAGCTAAGGTTATTATAAAAGTCAAAAAGTTTTTAAAAAATTTAAAAGTTTATAAAGTAAAAAAGTTACAGTAAGCTAAGGTTAATTTATTATTTAAGAAAGAATTTTTTTAATAAATTTAGTGTAGCGTAAGTATACAGTAATGTCCTAGACCTTCACATTCATTCACAAACTCATCCAGAGCAACTTTCAGTCCTGCACGCTCTGTGCATTTTAAGTACTGTGTACAGGTACACTGTTTTTTCTCATCTATACTGTATATTTAGTGTACCTTTTCTATGTTTAGATATGTTTAAATACACAAATACTTACCATTGTGTTATAGTTGCCTACAGTATGCAGTACAGTAACATGCTGTACAAGTTTGTAGCCTAGGAGCAATAGGCTATACCATAGAGTCTAGGAGTGTAGTAGGCTATACTATCTAGTTTTGTGTAAGTGCACTCTACTATGATGTTCATACAAGGATGAAATTGCCTAAGGACACATTTCTCAGAACATATGCCCATCATTAAGCAATACATGACTGTACACTGTACATAGAATTCCACACAATGAATGCATCATACTTTAAGTAACCATTTTCCAGTTGATGAACCTGTTTCACTATATCAAAAATTACAATTGTTCTTCAGGTTTCATTCACGTCAATCATCCATCCTTTTGTCTTATTTAAATTGTTTTCTTTGATTT